TATGCTTCGGCAGTTCGACCAGTCCTACTATACGGTGCAGAAACTTGGCCATTAAGGTAACAGGCTAAAGATAGACTGTCGATGTTTGAACAACGCTGTCTACGCAGCATTGCACGAATCTGGTGAGGCAGCCGGACGAGAAATGCTGAGGTCAGGCGAAAAGTTTTAGGTAAATGCGGTCACCGACTCGAGCAAATGGTTAACATCCATGGATTCCGTTGGTTGGGGCATGTGTTACGCATGTCACCAGATAGGTTGCCACGGCGAGCAACTTTCTCCGAGGCAAATAGTGGGTGGAAGAATGTCAAAGATGGCCAAGCTAAGACCTGACACGAGGGTATGAAATCCCCAACCAGGAGTCTGGGTCACATAGGTCCCGTTAAGCTCCCTGGCTGGGGACCCCGGAATGATCGTCCTCCAGACTGGGGGTTCGCCTGGAATTTGGCATTTCAGTCGATAAAAAGCAGTGGAGGAGTAATTGATACAAGTATATAGGTCTCCACTTCGCCTCATCTGCTGCCTTGCGGTTAGGTTCTTGTTAGAACTAAAGGCTATGGACGAGAACCCTAATCGTTCTGCTTAGTGGCTGGACACCCTAACAGTACCCGTCCACCAAACCCCAATGCATACACAAAATAAAAATAATTTCATACTGCATCGGTCGTCGCGCAGGATAATCAGGATCGCGCTGCCCATTGCATCGAGCGGGATGGGTAGTGATAAGTGGGCTACTGCTCAGATATCCCAACCTTTGTTTAACTCTTTGTCTTCCGTTCCCAACCCTCTCCCTTTACCCCTTCTACCGACCTGTAATAGTCCCTCAAGCANAGGTCATTGCCAAATAGCACTGTAAGTGATTCACCACGGAATGGATTGTAGATCTTAAAGCCTCGTCAATCACTGAATCTGGGAGCCTTCAACGGGAGGACTTTGATGCAGCTAAGTCAACAAGCATGTTTGGCGCGTACAAGAGACTCTTTGGGGATTGATATCTGTTGCGTATCGGAGACGCGAGCCCAGGATACTAGTACTATAAACCACTTAGGTGCACCGGAGTTGTATTCGAGGTTCTTCCTCTGCACGTCAGATGATGACGAAGCCCGTTCAGTAGGCCAGCGTGGCGTGGGCATTGAACAGATAGATCATTCACTTAATCGTGACATGTTTGACACTTCCCCAGTCCCAACACCTGTACCTGACACTGCATCAGAAATCTTACGACAAACACAAAGAACGAGACCTTAAAATCCACGAAACAGAGAAGCTTAGTTACCTTCTGCTATTTCCCTTTTTCTCCCAAACGATTCACTAATTATCTTTAACCAAATTGTAAAGCGAACTTCCTTCTCTCAGCCGGGGCGAATGTTTTGTTTTTTATTCGTTCTTTTTCCTTATGCTGTCACGTAGGGCGTTGTTTTTATCTTTCAGTCCATGTACCGATATTAATAGATCAGTAAGGCGTATTCTTCCGGTTTGCGCGTTCTCTCTCTCTCTCTCACTAATCTCGACTATACTTGCTTGTTGTTGTCGGTAACACTGACCGTCTAGTTTCAGAACGGACTTCGGCGACACCCAGTCTTGTAGCATCACTTTGCACTTTGAAGGTGCAAAGCAAATTCCGAACGGAGCGACAGAACTTGCTAATCTGTCAAGTGCCCTTTGTACATCTTCCATACATTCGAGCAAGCAGACGATGTCGTCAGCGTACTCGAAATCGCACAGCTTTTTTCTAGCTGCCCATTCAATACCTACATTTAGGAGACCACTTAGTGTGTTCTCCAGGATTTCGTCTATGACGAAATTGAACAGGAATGGCGAAATAGAGCACCCTTGACGAACACCACTGCTAATTACGAACGACCTGCTCAACCTACTTAGCTCGCCGTTGATCTTTACGCTACCAGAAGTATGTTCACATACTTCTGCGGCATTTCTTTGCGAAGAAGCGAACCCAGAAGGAATTCGCGGTCAACTGAGGCGAAGGCTTCTTTTAGGTAAAAAAAACATGACAACCGTAGGCCGACGGTGCGTATGGCGTAGCTTGAGGGCTTGACGCAGAGTGAAGGTTTGATCGACTCACCCGCGATCTGGTTTGAATCCTGCTTGTTCGCGGATATTTGTCTCCGGAAAGGGTGTCAGACGTCGAAGTATAATAGAGGCTAGTAACTTGGTGACAATTGGGATCAACCTTCTCCACGGTGGTTTGCGCAGTGGTTGCTAGATCCCTTCTTAAAAATGGGAACAATCAATGATTCACTCCAGGATGATGGGATGCGCTCATGGGCCCAGGTGTTACGCATAAGTAAACCAATGGAGTCTACGAGGTCATTGTCCCCCATCTTGAAAAAAGGGGAAAGAAGCCCGTCCGGCCCTGCTGCTTTTCCTTTTTTCAAGGCTTGGGTGCATGACCGAACTGCAGGAGGTTCACATAGCACTTCTCATGGAGCCCCAACTACAACAGACAATATAGTCTGGTAGGCATCTGACCAGCTGAACTGCTCGTTGAAGTACTCCGCCCACCGGTCAAACCGTTGTTCCCTATTGTGAATGGCTCGTCCCCTCTTATCGCAGACTGTTTCACTAACTGGGGTTCGCCGACCTCCCGTATTGCGTATCAGTCGGAACAGTCTTTGACTATTCCCTGATGCAGCTGCTACTTCCATTTCACTAGCTATCGTTGCCCACCAGTCCCCAAGATCTTTATTGAGACTCTTCTTGAGTTGCCGCTGCAGACGCCACCTACCCCTGCCTTGATCTCAGGCAGTGGAGATTTGCCACTTTTTCTCCGTTTGTCCCTATGAATCCTGAGATATAGAATACCTCGGGCGGACTACCCCTTCAGACTCACAAGCAACTCTCGCAGTGGTGTGCATTGCTCGTCTAGTCTGATCCCATTGTTTATCCACACTACCACCCCGCCGAGTGTTTAGCTCTTTCCCTAGTTCTGATTCAAAATGGGCGCAAACACCTTATTCACTGGTCCTACCTGAGGTTGGAAGACATCGCCTAAGTCAACAGATAACATGGGGACGAATCACGAAGAAATGCTCGGAGCGATTAAGTTGGATAGGGGTTTCCCGTCTTTCAGGTTTGGTTCCAAAATACTTTAACCGATAGTTTTTTATATGCTTATTTGTTTGGCACAATCTGTACTGACGTATGGAATCAAAAAGTTTTGAATCAACATTGACTGTGAAAGAAATATTCAGATTTAAGGGAAATGGACACTAATAATTCTTTTACCTCTTTAAAAAAGACAGTTCGACGAACCCAAGTAAATATCCTGTCATGACAACAAATTGTGGGAAATGGCGATGGGGGTTCGTGACGGTGATAGTGCCATGAGGTAAGGAATAGAATGCAGTAGAAAAAACAGTTCAATCCGTATTGATTGTTGCTTGGCATGAAAAAATGATGCAACAGCTTGTCTCGTATTCGTTCTTCCGATTGTTTTACTCGGCATTTTTATCCTATTTCAGATTCTTTGATCATTTCATCATGTTTCGTAATGCGGTTACCTCATCATGGAAGATAACCGCCAGGGCCAGGTACGTCTTGTTTTATAAAAATATCCTTCCCCTGAAAACAGTTCGTTCTGGAGTCATGTGAAGATGGGCCCACCCGATGCCATTCTTGGAATCACGGAGGCATATAAAAAAGATAGTAATCCGAACAAAGTCAATTTGGGTGCTGGAGCTTATCGTGACGATAATGGGAAACCGTTTGTTCTGCCTTCTGTCAAGGAAGCTGAGTCTAGAATGTTCTCCCGGAATATGGACAAAGAATACGCGAGCATTGCTGGCATTGCGGAGTTTTGTGACCTGGCAGCCAAGTTAGCTTTCGGCAATGATTCCAAACATATAGAACAAAAATGTGTATGTTTTTCGTCTTATGATGCTGCCTTTTAGCTCAACTTCGCCGATTTAGTCATTGCAGGTTCTACGCAAGTACACATATGTTATGTGCTTAGTGAGAACTCAGTTGAAGTTGTTTTTACAACGGATAATTGAATAAACTGTCACGCTTTTTTGTTCATACAGTACCCAGATGATACCTTTTTGATTATCTTTTAAAATCAAGTATTTTGCCGTCGTTGTTCAAGGAATGTTATCAAATACATGACGGTCACTAGACCTATTCTTAGGTCCCTGATATGGTCCTACAGTAAATTCGATAGAGTCTCTGTTTGGGACTTGTGATTGGCGTTGATTAAGGAGAGTGGCAGTATCGATACATGTTGAGCGTGTCAATGCTAAATCCGACCTGCTCAGAACTCAATCGACATTCCGCTACTTCATTTCACAAAGCAAAAAATCGGTGGAAACTTATTACTCTAATTCCTCTGTCGGCTATTTAATGTCAAATAATTGAGATGTTCCTCACAAGCAGTCGCGAGTAGGTATTTTGTTGAAATCATCACTACTGTAGTGCCACCAAAGTCAGCAGTATGTTAACTTGATTCACTCTCTAGATTTATGAGCAAACGGTGTTTATGCATAAATACACAACCTATTGTCTGCAGAATGAATTGCACGCATTTAAATAAGCCATTGATCCTCCTCGAATTAAGAATAGCTGAATGCCACCAGGCGCGTCCCCGGGCTGTGGATAGGGGAATACCGTCACTGAAGAAGGTTAGCTGTGAATAAGTTGTGACGTACCGCAACAAATAAGCAGTCGCAAACAAACAGCGGCAATACTACCAGGGTGTGGTGGGTGTTGGGCTGGTCACCTGGCTCCTGTTTAAGAGCCGCAAAAGCCCAATGACGGTGTCATGACAAAGGTCGATGTGACTGACCTTTTAAAACTAAATTCATTGACTCCCTCACTTCCGAGGCGAGGGATTGTTTTCTGCTGTCTTACCGTTCGCACTTGGTTGTGCAAAGGGTAAAGGTGCGTCCTCAATAAAAAACGCCAAGTGACACTGGGGACGTCTCTCATACCAAACTCCCAAGGAATTTCATGATTATGTCTGGAGCGGGCTTATCTTTTCCAAGGAGCCCGCCGTGGTTAAGTGTAAAGTAGAGTCAGTTCTTTATCGCTGTGTGCAGCTTTTTAGAGGTCGAGTCCATCTAGTTTGGGATGTCTAAAGAACCGCACATTATCCTGCCTGCTCTCCTCTATTGTATGTGTTGGGTTCCTTCGTCACAATCTAGCATTGCTAGTGAGCTTACTCTAGCGATCTATCGTCACACTGACCCCTCTGCAGGTCATCGCTGTGTTTGAATCACACCTTTTTTGATTGACAGGTTGTGACACTCCCCCTTCCTCCCAGTTATCTATCCTGAAAAAAATACAGGGCAACAGAGACACTGGTGTGCTACTTCATTTCTCTCACCATTGATCAGCTACATGCCCTTCATTCTCACCTTTGATTTGCGTATGCTGTGAACCTGGTCAGAGTTGGCGAAACTTGGCAGACCTAATGCGCCCTGTCGTCGGCTGATGCACTTTTTCGCTCAGTGGTATCAGCTTGCATCAGTGTTGAACTTCCCGCTTATCATTGACTCCGTGGAATTAGCGGCCGCGTTTGTCTGGAATAGCATATTAGCGCGGTGTCGCAGGTCTCCCTGATAAGTTGCAGTATTGCTGACGGGTCATGCAAAGTCTCGAAGGCTTATTTAGTTTCTAAAAGTAAGGTTAATCTGTAATTCCTAAACTCCTACATTATCGAGGAACAACTAAAGGTGCGTCACTCGGTTCCCCACACCCAGGCTGTCACCAGGTACTACTTCAGCAATGGTAACATGATCACTGACAGTAGTTTACATGGCACTTATGGGTTGAGAGTGCATATTATTTTCTTTCCCGTGAGACGTTGATTAACCTTAACATGGCTTCATAAGTCTGAGCTACACAGCGCCTGATTTGAACACGAATTACCTCAGTCATCTACGATATTATGTATGCAGTTTTTGTTCATCCACAGAATTACATACTGAAACCCATATTCTGATTAAGGTAGTAAATAGTGTCCAATTCCTTTTGTTCAAGATCCCGTGGGAGGTGTTACGATCCAAACGAAATGAACAGTAACTACGGCCCACGCATTTGGACGTACGAATGAGTTGCTGTCAGATATGATACCACCCGAGACCTTTCAACGAGCCCTCCAGAAGAATACGATTCCTAGACCCAACCGAAGCGCAGAGGAGAAAGGAGAAATTCTGTGCCAGCGACTTTGTGTATAGAGCAAGGTCATCCGTCCACCTATATTTTAGGGTGTCGGCATTTGGTGATCTTATAATTCAGCCCCAAAGTTCAAAGGTTTGAGAGAACTGGCCAATCAGGGATGAGTGTGTTCGATGACGCGATATAAACCTCTTTTGTGAAAAACCAGAAAATCAAGTTTTATAAAAATAAACATCAAACATAAGATACAGCATGCTTTACAGGGAAAAGCGGAATTCTTCCCATACCTGGAGTTGTAATCCTTTTTTACTCGACCAAACGCGTGTCCTGTTTCACATGCTATCACATGAGGAAAGAGACGAGTGGTGGCCGTTGGATAAGCCTTAGTAGAATAATCAATTGTGTATACAGCTAAAGCAAAAAAACACAATCAATTACTATTTATCACGATGGTTGATCTGAATACAACAAGAGACAACGTAGGGCCCATGCAAACGATTTCTCCGTAGCATTCAGATTTACAGTGGTATTTTTCTCACTAATACCTCGATGTTTGCTCCTCTGGAGTTACAATGCACATGCTTATCTCTCACATTGACACGCCCCTACCAAACGATTCCTTCCGTAAGCCCTACCACTAGTTTTTGGTCCTCGTGTTTCCTATGATAGTTAGGTCTATTGGTTTTCCCTTTCATTCACGTTGTTAAAAACGGAATAAACAAACTGGATTCGTTCTGTATGTCTGCCCTCACTGATATCTCTATATTTTAATATGGAGCATGGGCTTGACATCCTTCATTTATGATCACGGCCTTAGTTCAACGTATTCTTTTGCGTTCCTCACTTTCCCCTTAAATTTTCCAAATCACGCTTACCGACTGGGCGTGAAATCAACAGTGTTTCAGGGGCAATGCATGAAATCCTGATCGGCTCTGGCTTTTCCTCGTCTGTGCATACTTAACACAGATTATTACAAGTTAATGTACTTTTCATCGGACAGACCACAGTTAATTAGTTTTGACCTGCTGCTGCTGCTTTCTAACAGTAATAATGACAGTGATAATATAGTATATCCCAATCCCAAGATTCAGATTGACTATATGCAATTTCCTAGTTACCCACTCACTTATATTTGGTGACAGTGACATTCGTTTTCCGCCCGGATTCCAGAATGCAACAGTACAAACTATCTCGGGAACGGGTGCACTTCGTATCGGGGGCGCATTCTTGGTAAGTGGTGCTATGCGCATTTGTCTTGCGTGCTTTATCTTTGCCTCGAAATGTTTTTTCAACCGTCTGGTATATAGCTAAACATATTTTACTTTGGGGGTTACCAAGTCGCCCTTAGTTGATCGCAGTACCCCATTAAGGTCACGGGAATATCAGTTTTCGCTCAACTTCTTGGTTCATTTCCAACGGATATCCCCCTATTGTGGTATTCCGTTGTATGAACGACCGGGAGTACTAAAATCTCGAATCCTATTAAAGAGAATGAAAATGCCCCATCCAAAAGGACGCTACTTTGCTTCAACAATCTCTAGTTTTTTTCCAGCTATCCACCATTCAATACTAAGTTGGTGCAAACAGGTGAAAATACAGAACATCAGTTTTTATTTTGATTAGTACTAAAGTGGTGTTCGAATGGCTCAAGTCGCTATCACTAGCAGATTACGGTCCCTAAAGTTCAAACTTTACGACGAGACTGATTTTTAACGTGGTGTGATGGTTTGCCCCCTCCATGACCCTGCCAGTTTTACAGGATGGCTCCTCACAGCCGAAAATCCAATCATGTCTGAAAGGTCAATGGGTAGAGGCCAGATAAAGTTCAGTCTCAAAAATTCATCTGGTTTCCTTTGTCTGTTCACTCACGAAGGAGAGGTCACTGGAGCAGATAAACACGGGGAAGCGGCAGTTTGTCGGTAAAAAAAAACCCCGCTGGATGGACGTGGGAGTGGTGTACCTGATGCTTCCTTCCAACGGTGGGATATCTTCGCACTTCATTGTAGTTACTGCCCGTCCAAGCTGGGCAGTTCAGAGGCAATGAGGTGCTGTCTCGTCGACGGCCCGCTTACCGGAGAACAGTACACTGCATCCAAACCCAAAGACCTTGCGCTCCCGCGGTAGATCTACGCCCCACTGTCTTGTGGGTCGGACTTTTGAGTCAAAGGCTCTAATCAGGGTGCCCCAAGGAAAATCCCTTCAGCGGTGTGAGCTACCGCGAAGTGTGTTGTGCCCAGAAGTCTTAGATGCTCATTTAGAAAAAACCGTCTTTCTCATCTATCCACTTTTCCCTCTCACTCCTAATACGTACGAAATGCCTCCTGTTTCATCCATGAGATATAACTCAGCGTTCACCTAGAAAGGTCAATCAACCAGAGGCTGTCAGCTGGTTGAAACTAAAACCTCCTTTTCACTTAGCCGCATGTAATCCCCACACAATCTATCAGATCAGTCAACACGCTGTCCTAGCTAGTACCCTTGAAACTTTCGAATTGGATGTATGCTGTTTCCGAAACACGCGTACAGGACTATTTCAATCACCACCTGGTCACCGCCAGATGCAACTTCATCCTCATGCTTCACTCTCCGTGTGTCAGTTCAATTTTTAGAACCAATAACCATGCAATTTCGTGCGCCGGTTTCGGTTGCTGTCTTTGGCCGCCCATTTCGATAAAACAGCAGAATGAATATTGGAATGTTAAGAGCAAGTTCAAGGGAAAGATAGGGAATTCAAATAGACTAGGGTTGCAAAAATAATGAGTAGATGCATGATGCA